ATTTGTGATTCAAAAGACACGATATGATGGATTTACAGATGTTTAAAAGAAACCGAATTACTCCCTGCTATAAAATGTGCGATGATAGAATTTCTCTTCAGCAACAACTTGTAGTGCTGAAAGGTCATTCATATATTTAACTGTAAATAATTATAAAAAATTATAATTATAAATAAAAGATCAGATATTTCATTCATCTTACATATATTTTTACAGTTCATTAAAAGGTTAAAGAACGGATAGTAATTCAATATCTGAACAGATAATAGCTTAGCTTTATTGTATATACATAAAGACATTGTTAAAAAGCAAAGCAAAAATTATTGATAATGGCTAACTCATTGTATGCAAGCAAGACGCATACAATTTTATTGATGACTAATATAAATATAATTAATTTGTGACATCTACACAACATATATTCAAATAATATTAATATTGTATTTAGAATTGTAAATCTACAAATAAAAGGCTATGTGATGATCATAATGTTGTTTTTCTGTTTAATGGTAGATGCATTAATGGAATTAAAACACTAGAAATATATTAAGATTTGAAATAATTTTGATCTGCAGTGGGATTTAGTTCCTGCGGGCGCTCCTTGTATTGTTCTGTTTTTATTATGAAACAATATTCTATAACTAATAATAGTGATCAACCAAGTGCCGTTGACCGTTATGAAGCACTATAATAATCAGACTACAAAATAATAATAATCATGGTTGTCGGCGGGTAGGTGAATTACTTGAATTCCATCACATTTACAATACAAAAATAAAATAATTTAAATATTAATGATTTTATTTTGATTTATCTTTAAATTTACAACTGAATGGACTGATATCGAAATTTTCGATTATATTTTTGTTCGCGCAAGTTATCGAGTGTGATAACTTCAAATAGATTTTATTGCCGCCCTAATCGCGACTCCTCTCTTCTGGGGTCGATGGCCCTATGATATGCTATTTTAAAACCGATTGCCGGACAGTAAAAAACGGATTAGTAGGTCAACGGCCCTTACAATCACATATCTTTACGGAATTATACCCGCCGTAAAGATTACGTACAGATATTGCCCTACCAAAAGTGATATAGGGTCATTGGCCACCAATTTCGAATAGCGTATTTTTTGGGTGTTGTCGGAGACACCGGCATGAAGAATAGTGACTCCTCCGTGCGACGCCTTCGTGGTAACAAGTTGTCGGCACGTTGCCTCCTCAGACCGTCTTGTGAACTTCGTCAAAGTGTCCAAGTGTGCGCCCGTTTTAGACTTTTACCTTCGCATAGGTCGGTTTTCTTGTGTTTGAAATCAAAACGGTTACACTTCTCGCGTTCCGAACCGTATATATATATATTATATATCGTTGCCGCGTTCTACGAACTTCGTTAAACTTAAATATATATATATATATACATTGTCTGGCGATTTTAGTTTGGTACTGATCCGTATATATATATATCGTTGTTGCGACATCCGCACTCCGCTAAACTTAAATATATATATATACACTGTCTTGCGGTCTTCGTTTAGAATTGAGGCTTTGTCGTTCCGATTGTCGCTAAATTAATATAACATTACAACGCGACTTCCGTTGTGTACCGATCGGTCGACATGTGTGAATTACAAGTGTTGTCTACTATCAGATCTTATTATCATTGTTTTGGTTGCCTATTGTTATACCGTCGTGCTCAAGACGAAACAGCTGACCAGTGGCCTGACTGTCGCCGTCAATTGGTCACCTGCCAACGACAACATCGGCATAGGAACGGAGTCACGTAAATACTGTCATTATTTTCATATCTTATATTTTTATATATATACAAATTGTACCACGATTGTTTAGATCGTGTTTGGCCGAATATTATTATTATTATTATTATCACCACGACGAAAGTGATTGTGATATCTGTTAGTCTATTATCAATCATTGTATAAACTGTCAACACATCGTCGTTGGTGATACGTTAATTTATACGTTTTCATATTATAATTGTGTAATCCATACTTTAAATACAACTCGAATGTTTATATTTTGTATGGTCACCTCTCTTTAAGCAATTATTCACGGTTATTCCTAGTTCATCTTTCGGTGGTGTAGTCATCGTAGGAGCCTCGTGGCTAAACAATTTTATTAAATGAATTAGAGTTTTATTTTGTATTTTGTTGTGGTTTATGTAGTATCACAGAACAATATAGAAACGACACTCAATTAGCTGGGCGGTCTACTGTATCCCTATGGTATGAAGTATTAGATTCTAAAAGTTAATCTGACTAGATGTTGGTAATGTGAATCCCAATTTGTTACGGTATTATAAAAACGGAAACAATCCATTGCCCGAGTGATTTTCACGAGTCTTATGCAAAAAAAACATTGCTAGAAACGAGCAAATTTTAAATTGCAATAGTTGCATTTTTTTAATTATTATTCAGTGTTCTTTTAACGGTTTTAACTAATTTTCAACAATATATTGTTCTGTAATAATATTGATATTATTTATTTAAACGATAATGTATGCTTCACCCCCCTGGAGACCGTGTTCAAGGCCAATGTCGCCCAATTTGGTCATTATCGGACAGTGTTTATACCCTGATAGTATAGAGTGTGATATCGTTATCGGTTCTTCCCTTCTATAATTTTCTTGTACTATTAAGTGATCGAAGAAACACTACACTATCACATTATGAGCTCCTGATAGTCTAAACGCGGTTTTCTTGTACATAATCCGCGGTGCGGCAGAGATCAAACTGCACTTGTTGCGCGAGTGAATTCTTAATATAATACAAATTATAAATTATCTATTGTTATTATAATAAGGTATCATATTAGTCTTTGTAATATAAAATATTACGTGACTGAAAGGGTTAATATTTTTATAAACCACGGCGAGAGTACCAGGATTGCATGAAGTAGTAGTGGTTGTTCAGTTCATGTGAACGCGAAGGGTAGATTTGGTTCTTTGACTCTTTTGACTCGGTTACCAGAAACCGACAATCCCGGATGGACACGAGCGCTAGACGCTCCACCACTAATACGAGTTGCCGCGAGCAACCGACATAACATCGCTTGTAATGTGTTTAGTATTTACTACTGTACCTACAATACCACGCCTCGCGCCACGAGATCCCGAATTTGTATGTAGACTGTTGTATACGAAAATGGATCATTGACACTATAGTCAATAATATGTATGTATATTTTTGTTTTGATAATATTGTTACGTCCCGACAACGGTGAACAACAGCACAGTAGAAGGTTTATAATTTATTACTGAGAACAACAACTCATAATTACTATTACTTCTTTTATTAAACGAATATAACTAATATTGTAGCAATAATTACATAAATTAATATAACGTACATTAACATAAAAAAAGAGACGATAATCAATCCAACAAGTTTAGTCTTACTTCCGTCGTGCTGTCAATTCAGACTGTCGAATTCAGTGTTGAGTCCAGATAATAAAAAAATTATCTAGATAAAATACAGATAATTCAATAAAAAAATATCTAGATACAGATAATGATAAATACGTAATATTTTTTGTATCTAGATAAAGATAAATTTATAACGTTATTATCTAGATAATAACATAGATAAACTAATTTGTTTGCATATTATAAATAATTAAGAATGGATATTATTATTACTTATAAAAATTTGATAATCTTTTGAAATACTTTTTTATATCTAAAATTAATGATATTTAAGCTGTAAACTTTATAAAAATACTAGCTGAATTACCCGGCGTTGTCTGGAAAAACTCCTTTTAGGTGTAAAACGCTGTGGAAGCGTTGTCGATAAGAAGAATGTCTTTTTAAATGTAAATTATATAATATTTAAATTTGTAGCCACATGTGTAATTATATGGGTAATGTTGTTGAGTGCTATATATTTATTATGCTTAGTCAATTGTTTTTGCATTTTATCGATTATTATTATAAAATAGGAGTATTGGTGTAGGTACGCGCGATGCATGAGATTATTTTTATCGATAAACTTCTCGGAACAATTATATAGCCAAGATTCAGTGCCTTTTTTTCATAAGCTGAAACAAACGTGGATAAACTTTTTTGGTTATCTTTCCACCACTTTAAAGGATTTTCGTGCTTTGGAATTAGTCCTTCTTGGAGATATTTATCAATTTCAACGATGGCTGCAGAAATTGGGTTTGTGGTTCTTAATTGGCTTCTCACTTCTTTATCAAAATTATTTCAAATGGAATTTACTCCAAAAATAGTATGTGGATTTTGTATGGCTAGCTGTGTGTTATTTTCAATGTCTATTGATGTAATTTGTTCGATTAATTTTTTTTCCTTCAACAAATGAATTTTCATTTAAGAATTCATATTTTTTAAATCTTGGGTCGAATATCGTGGCTTTTGCAAAAATTTGTGCTCTTTCAAGTGAATCAAATCTTCGTTCTACTTGCTGTTTTATAAGGGCGTACCCAAAAAAACCGAACTATTTTTGTACAAAGTTATTTATTTATTTTTTTACAAAAAACATTTAATCGCCTTCAAAGTACTCTTCGTTGGAGTTAATGCACTTGTCTAAACTTTTGTTCCAATTTTCGAAGTACTTTTTAAACTCATCTGTTGTGATGCCTGCCAACGCCTCCGTCGTTTTTTTTTTAACTTCATCAATGTCCGCGAAACGCTTTCCTTTCATCTCCCTTTTCATTCTGGGGAATAAAAAGGAGTCGCAGGGAGCTAGGTCGGGTGAATTAGGGTGGATGGGATACAGTGGTCATATCATTTTTGGTCAAAAACCGCCGTACAGAAAGGGCCGTGTGAGCAGGAGCATTGTCATGATGAAAAAAACCAGTCTCCTGACTGCCACAATTCAGGTCTTTTCCGCCTCAAACTGTTACGTAAACTTTTTAAACCTCTAGGTAAAATGTCTGGTTAACTGTCTGCCTAGGTGGAACAAACTCCGAATGGACGACTCCTCTCACATCAAAAAAACAAATGAGCATTGTCTTAATGTTTAATCTCACTTAACGAGCTTTTTTAGGGCGAGGCGATGCTGGAGTCTTCCATTGGCTCGATTGTTGCTTTGTTTCAGGATCATATCCATAGCACCATGATTCGTCACCTGTAATGACCTTGGAAAAAAAATTTGGATCGTTTTGGAATTCTTCTTTTAAAGAAGAGCATGATTCTACGCGGCCTTGTTTTTGCTGCTTAGTCAATAGTCGAGGAACAAATTTTGCAGCTACCCGTCTCATCCCCAAATCTTCACTTAAAATTCTCTGTACCGAACTCCATGTCACACCAGATCTCTTCGCTACTTCTTCGATGGTTTGCCGTCGATCTTCCAGGATAATTTTGCGAATTTTTTCTACGTTTACGGTGGTTCGCGCCATCGAAGGACGTCCAGAGCGAGCTTGATTGTCTATCGACATTTCACCGCTTTTGAACGGGAAAACCACTCAAATACTTGAGTTTTCCTTAAAGCATCACCTTTGTGAGCTATTTTCAACATTTCAAGGGGTTTCTGTGCCCGTTTTCCCGAGCAGGAAACAAAACTTGACGGCCACGCGCTGTTCACGCAAATCATATAATTGATTATTCAAGTAAGTACAATGTTTAAGAAGTATTCGACTAAATACGATGGACTTTGAAATTGAAATTGATTTTTCAGTACTAATTTCTATAGTTATTTCTTTAAAGTATTTTAAAATTTTACGAGTCTTGGAAATTATTTACCAGTCATTAATAGTCAAGTAATGAAGTAATCATCATAATTGCAATCTATCCATACTGATGAAAGAGGAATTTTAAGGTCTTGAATACGCTGAAACATCTCATGTGTTGAGTTTCAACCTGTAACAACATCCTGTATAAGCATTAAAGGTGGTGTTAAGCCCAATTGCTCTTGCATGGTTTTGAGTTTGTCTGCTGCTTGTGGACTTCTCTTAAAATGTCTCACAATTCTCCCGACTTTTTCTCTGTTTTCAGAAATTTATTTAAGAGCTGTTTGCACCACTAAATTCAGGCTACGAGCGAATTAACCTACATGTCTCCACCTACACAAACTGATAGCATTAACAATATTGTAAGCATTATCAGTTGTACATGCCTATCGGGTCATACCGATTCATAATTTTTCCACTCGAGGTCAGTGGCCACTTAAACTCATTTGTATATTGCGAACTTAGCGTTCGATAATTCGTGTTTATTATTATTATTTACATAATTTTTTATATACATTGCGGTACTTGAGGTCGTCGTACTCAAGACCATATTTATATTATTATATTATATTTCACATGTTTATGTTTCGTTTTGGACGTTCGAATCTTAGTGCCTAATCAATTTGTCGTAATATATATATACTCAGGCGTTTCAGCACTGCAGTGATTATAAAATTTATTTAACTATAATTTTTCCATTTTGTGTGGGTAACCCTTCCTCCTCCAGTCCAACTCATAACGCAAGTCGTTCTCGCTAACCGCGATCTCACAAGTAGGAGCGGAACGGTGAACAATGTTCTAAACACGATTTGTCTCTTGAACTTTTGCAAAATAAAATTAATTACGAGTACATTTTTTTTTTTGGAAAATGCGTGAAGTTGTTCAGCTTTTTATTAGGAATTTATGTGATTGCGTGTAAGACACGCAATATCTTTGACACTTCATCGCCACCGAGTTTTGATGTGTATGGGTGGAACTCACGGCGGCCGACGCGACGACAATCACGCACAGCTTTCATGCTGGGACCCTGGTACCGTCGGCCTTACATTTCATCAGCGTTGCCGTTTTGTTCAACTTTTCGTCAATCACATGCTAAAAATATATTAAATTAATTTTTGCCTATATATTGCATTGAAAACATAATTTTGTATACAAAATATAATAATATACCTAACAGCGTTGTGTACCCACGAATAATGATTTTTAACTACAACAAAATATTGAATATTGTAATTCATAGTTAAGACTTACTAATATTATGTAATTCAAATTTGAACTTAAGATTTATACACAAAAAGTATGCTTTTATACTTTTTAGATTTTTTTGGTATGACTTATTTGTGAGGATGAGAAACTTGGTTTTAAATTTTTTAATATAAGTCATTAGAATTGCATGTAATATAAATTTTTAGTAATAAACAAATTTGTAAGTTTTTGTGATTTTGTTGAATTTTATCAAAATTTATTAAACTTTTAACCTAATGTCCTGACCGACTAAAAACAAGAAGTTGCTGTTCTATTTTTATCGAGTCTGACGACAGTAATAAATCCATGCTAATAAAATAGATAAATGGTCCAAAAAAATGGAAAATTAAAATAAATACAGATAAATCTGTGCAAGTTACTTTCACTTTAAAACAATCTCCCCATTAGTGCCCTCAATTAATTATGAACAACGTCCTCACCATCTCTGTCCGAACCGAAATTAAGTACTTAGGCATAACACTTGATAAAAAAACTAACCTGGGGCCCCCACCTAAAATAAAAAATAAAATCTGCGAACAATAGACTTCATCTCCTCCGACCTCTCCACAACTCCAAAATTCCACTCTAAGACAAACTTATTATATATGAGTATCCAATCTGGTCTTATGGTATTTGGGGTCCGGCCAAGCCGGATAATAAAGTAATTATATTCCTTAAATGTCTTCATTACCTACGTCCTACACATTCAAACTATATCAAAAATATTATTTTTATATTTAGTATAACTTGTGTACATAATACTAAGTAATGTGTTTATTTTTAAATAGGTACAATACATTTTAAAATATCTTATTTCTAAGAATTTTCTGATTGTAATATTTATAATAAAAATAGAACACTAAGTTATTTTGGCGTTATTTTATTTAGCAGTGCAGATGTATTATTTGGATTTGCAGTTTGAATTATTTTAAACACTTTACTATAATGTATAATACGTACTTGTCTTGTCTTTATATTATATTATCTTTTGGATTTTTCATCTGAGTGAAGTGTAGTGTTCAGATTATTAATACTAATATTGTTCACCATAATAATTCTTTATTTTGTAAAGTAATTAATTATTATAATGGGAAAAAAGATATGTGCTGTAAATGGTATGTATATAAAATGATTTTAATACTTGAAAAATTGAGGCTTTAAAAAATTAATTCAGGTTGTCCAAGTTATGGAGGTAGTAATGAAGATACTGCATTTTATTCATTTCCATCTGACTTGAAATTGAAAAAAAAAATGGATTGATGTTACTGGTGTCAGTAAAGGTAAATACTAATAAATTTAAATACTTAAAAATCTAAAGAGAAAAAAAAAGCTTAGAATTTATTACATTAATTTTATTATTGTTGAGTCACAATATTTACTATAATGTTATTTTATTTTAAATAAACAATGTTTGAAGGCTTTTACTGGAATACTTAATAAATATATTCTAAGTACTTCTAAAGTATTGTCATGGAATACAGCCAGAGCAATACTGTTTGCTATAGACAAAAATCTATTAAAAGGGAAAAACGAAGAAATTAATTATAAAATAACTTCGTATTTTATTGAGCTTACCAATGCATGGTTTGATGTTCACAATTCTATAAACATGTATGGATCACATTCTGAGTTGCATGCTAATGGAATAAATTTAATTGAAAAAAAATAGAATATTTGATAAAATGTCATCTATTATCAAAGGGTTATGAGTGAAGAAACATATTAGTAGGTATATTACCTTTTCAACATGGAATTTTATTGAGCAATTCATCGCTCAAACAGCTATTACCTTATTTAAAAGTATGTATATATTATAACATTATAACTAAGTAGTTTTATATATTAAAAAACCATAAATATTCTTACTAACAATTTTTAAAATTGTAGGACTCTTTTAGTGAAGTTTATTATGTACTTGGAAGGCGACTCAATCAAGACTTCTTGGAAAATTTATTTTCATATCTTAGGTCAATGGGTAATACATCCGATAATCCTGCACCTTTAGACTTCATGCGTCGGTTAAAAAAATATATCTTTGGTAAACATTCTGCTGCCATATTGAGTGACCATAAAAACACTAAAGATGACACAGATGTCAACAATTTATCAGTGGATATACTAAACAAAAAGAAGCCTATAAAAAAGACGAAAGACGAAGAGGAAATTGTACTTACTCAAGATATTTTTGAGGCCATACTTTATGGCAAAGAACTAATATATGAGGAAGAACATATTGATCTAAATAAAACAGAAATTTTCAATTCATTTACTTCAATGGATGGATTACAATATATAACTGGTTTTGTTGCTCATCATTTCAAAAATAAATACCTAACCTAACGTCTCCTTTAGGCAGTTCTCAAAAAGTATTGGTACTTATTCTTTTGGTCGTGTAGTCATCGAGGCCGTCCATTTAATCGTAGGAGCCTCGTGGCTAAACAATACATAATCGTAAATATCAATAATCAATAATTATACATATAGCTGTAAAATTAAAAAAAAAAAAACTCATCGATAATTAAATAATATTGTTGTTGTATTATAAATGTAATGGAATTCAATAAATAAACGTATTCGCCAAGGCCTATGAATATTATTAGTTTACTTCGTTTGAATATTATGATTTGAAAATGGTTTTGTTCATCAGAAATTTATATATATTATATAAATATTTATTTATATTATTTAATTTATAAAGTGTATTGTGCACGCATATTATTATTCTTCCAATTTTAACTGTTAATCGTAGATGATATTTGCGTAGTGGTTTTTATAAAAATAAAATCCTTATTTTACTGCGTAGTTTCTCAATTCATCGAAACTGGCGTCTGTCTATGATCATAATAATACTATAGTAATATATACCTATTATAATTTATAGCATATCATCATAGCTTAAATTTAATTGCGTATATTTATTAGATAAAATTTGGACTTAACAAATTATTTATATACATTTTACTATAATTTATTACATTTAATTAGACAACATTTAGATTTAAGAAAATAGATTATATATATAATATTATAGCCCTATTATATTTAACTAGAGAAAGTTAATTTTAAACTTAAGAATTACCACAGAACTATCGAAATGCAGTAGCACAGTGGGCTAGACCGACGTTGAACGTGGTATTGCACAGTATTTAACAGTAATGAAGAGCAATGTAGTGTAAGTATTGATCGACGTGATTCGTGTAAGTGCGACGAAGCTGTCGGTTTCTGGTAGCCGAGTCAAAAGAGTCAAAGAACCAAATCCGCCCTCCGCGTTCACATGAACTGAACAACCACCATTACTTCATGCAATCCTGGTACTCTCGCCGTGGTTTATAAAAATATTAACCCTTTCAGTCACGTTATATTTTATATTACAAAGACTATTATGATACCTCATTATAATAACAATAGATAATTTATAATTTGTATTATATTAAGAATTCACTCGCGCAACAAGTGCAGTTTGATCTCTGCCGCACCGCGGATTTTGTACAAGAAAACCGCGTTTAGACTATCAGGGTCCCATAATGTGAATAATGATGTTTCTTACTCAATAATCTATATAACTAATATATAACGCCGTATGCGTATTTTTTGTGTGAAATAAATTCGATAATTATCGGTTCAATTTTGATCGGATCTTTTTTTACGTGTCCTCGTGATCACGCGAATTTCATACACGTAAATTTAGTCCAATAAGGTTAGTAAATAATTAGTTATTAATAGTTAAAATAAACGTGTAAATTATATATCTACACCTATACCGTGCAGTGTTCATGAATTTAACCCTTAATTGCATGATTTTTTTTTTCTTGCTGAAAATAAATGTTTTTGATTAATTTGAGTATGGGGAGTTTGTTAAAAATAATTTAAAAATTCCAACTTAAAATCCAAACTTGAAAAGCACAGCTTTTAAGTCCGTTGCACAAATGCAACTATATGCGCACCAACTTTAATTTATTATTATTTCTATTTCCATATGTATATTATTTTTTTAATTTTCATTTTAACAACTTTTATTATTCTTATTCTAACTACAAAAAACTAGTCCAAGGTAGTTCTTTAAATTAATATCTTTTTATTGAGAAAATAAAAAATAAAAACATAAAATCATAATATTATATAACAATGTTATACAATGTGTTAAGTCTTCTAACATTCAATAAAATAATAACAATGACAACCAGTTTTTATAAGTGAAAATATCATTACAAAATAATCAAATAAGTAACATTTAAATAAAATAATATAATAACAACTTATTTTTTTAAATGAAAATATAATTAATACCAATTGGTAAACAAATAATTTAATATTTAAATAAAATAATAATAATGACAACCAGTCTTTATAAATATGATAAAAAAATAATAATACCATAGGTAACAACCAATCTTTGGTATTCTAAATATGAAAATTGAAATAACTATAGATATCAGAGTTAGAACTATTTCATATGATATTTGTTGAAACAGTTACTACTTCTAGTAAAACACAAAGCCTTACTGCATTTAGCACAGCTTATGTATGTAATACCTTTACAACCTAAGTATTTGCATTTTTGTCTGCTTTGAGACCACTCAGGCATATGCTGAAAACCATCAAACCTTACATCTATTGGTGTAGTGTTAACATTACGTTGCCTTTTTTTATCTGTTATATTGCCTAATTTGTCTTCTTTAAGTGGTCTACCTCTTTTAGGTGACACTAATTCTCCCATTTGACATAATGAAACAGCCAATTCTTCATGGAAATCTGCCAAACTAGATTGATATTTTTGTCCTTTACTTTCATAAATACGTTTTTGTAATATCCAAGAATTTGTAACGGTTATATCAATTAAATGATAGAACAACCTCATATACCACTTTCTGGATTTTATTGAAATTTTATACCTTCCAATATTGGCATCCAGCAAGTCAACTCCACCCATATGCTTGTTGTAAATACTAACAATATAAGGAAAAGGAACCATTATTGTTTTTTTTTCTTTTTTAGAAAACCTTTTCACATGTTCAACTGGGTTCATACCTACAAATGTTGAAAGTAAGATTACCAACTTATTATCTTTCCATAAGACTGCTGTAATTTTTTCTTCGTTTACAGTAGCTGTACACTCATACATGGTACCCCTATCCTTAGATTTCATAACAGTATCTGAAGGAAATGGTACATTTTTAAGTCTATTTCTCCTAACAGTTCCTAGACTTTCAATGCTTCTACTTTTTAAATAAATCATTAACTGTATTGAAGTATAATAATTGTCATAATACAATTTAAAATTGTTATTTGATGGTATTATACGAGCAAGACGTACAACAACATTTGCACTTGCACCAATATCTGGTTCACAAGGTAAACGTAGATCTGAATTATTCTCTTGCCCACTATAAATTTCCACATAATCAGGCCCGGCGCAAGGCTAAATGACGCCCCAGGCCAAAATGCCAATTGGCGCCTTTTACATACAACCCATAATATTATAATACTCGGAAAAAATGTTATTCATGGATAAAAATACGGAAAAATGATGTATAATTCTTAACTTGTAGTTTGTACATTATTTGTTATCGTCTTAATTAAAAAAAAAATAACGTATAAAGAAATATAATGTAATAGGTATAGTATTCACATATAAATATAAAATACCTACATACTACAAAAAAAAAAAAAAATAAATAATAATACAGAAATTAATAATAAATGGAAATAGAGAGTACAATAAAACATAACATAAATAAAATATTTATTTAAATTTGTTATCGATCAACACTTTTCTTGATTTTCTCTCGGCAAAACTCCGTATAATTGTAGAAAAATCAATTTCCGCAGCTATTTCGTTTTCTATAGATAAAACCGATAGTGAGACTAAACGTTCATTAGCCATAGTAGATCGCAAGTATGTTTTTATGAGTTTTAATTTTGAGAAACTCCGCTCACCACTAGCTACTGTCACTGGTAACGTCAATAATAATCTTAAAGCAATCCAAAGATTTGGAAATATGTCTTGGAGTTCATAGTCAAAAATGTATTGAAGAATATTAAGAGGTGAACTTACGTCCAAACAAGAAATTAACAATTGCTTGATGTTCACAATTTCTGTGCATAATTCGACACCATCAATATCAGAGTCAGATCCATCTTTAAGGTGATTGTGTAGATCCATACAATGTTTCAATAAATCGTTTTCATTTTCAGGTGCATTTTTTAAATCGTACAAAAAATTCCATAAATCAACATGGATCTTTAAAATTTCAAAACGATCTGTCAATGATGTAGTAACAACGTCTATTAATGTGTAAAAAAATTCATGTTTAAATTTTTCGAGTACAGTTCTATGATCAGTATCATCTGAACGCTCATAGTCAAAGTGTTTTTTTTTTATACGCTTCCGAACTACTTTTATTTCAGAATCCACCCCTAATTCATCTGCTATTGCTTTTGCTTTAACCAAAATCTGATCAAATTGGTCTCTATAGTTCTTAATAAATTCTAAAGCACTTTTTAACATATTAAAACCATTTATTAAGTCTATTGCTTTTGCTTGCATACTTTTACTAACTAAATTTACTTGAAAAAGAATATCGTACCAAACAACTAATGATATTAGAAACTTAAAATCTGTAAGTTGATCAGCAAGCGAAACAGCTTCATGGCGCGTTCCAGCATCTATGTTTTCAACTTCGGATAGTTTAATAAGCGCATTGTAAATTTGTTCAGTTTGAAAACGAACAACTTTTACGCTGTTGATTCTACTTTCCCATCTTGTGTCACTCAGAGGTTTCACGGTCAGCCCTTTTATATTGTCAGTTAAAATTTTCCATCGATTTACCGATGATGAAAACAATACATAAATTCTTTGGAGTACGCCGAAAACTGTAATTGAATTTATAGAACAAGATGCAGCATCTGATACAACTAAATTTAAAGAATGGCAATTGCATGGAACAAAGGTGGCACGAGGATTCATTGATAAAACTCTCGCTTGAACTCCTTTTTTTTGCCCTTTCATGTTAGCACCATTATCATATCCCTGCCCACGACAATCTTGAAAAGGAATATTCTTTTCTGCAAGAGTATTTAGAAGAAGGTCTGTTAAACTCAAACCTGTAGAGCTTTCTACCGTTTTAAACCCAATGAAATGTTCTTTAACTTCAATTTTTTTTTTTATATTAACAAATCTTAGTGTAAAGGATAGTTGTTCTTGATGACTCACATCTGGTGTACAGTCAAGAATTACAGAATAATATTTTGCTGCACGTAATCTATCTATTATTGTTTCTAAAACTTTATTGGCCATGAGATTAATTAATTCGTTTTGAATAGAATGACTGCAATAATGTACGGTTTTTTCACGAGACAGTGTTTTAAGTAATAATTCTTTAGTTACATCGTCATATTTACCCAAAAGTTCAACTAAACTTAAAAAATTTCCATTACTTTGAGTATAAAATTTATCTGAACTTCCTCGAAACGCTAGATTATTCTTTGATAAATATAAAGTTACTGATAACAAACGGTCCAAAACTTTTACCCAATAATCAGTTTCCATGTTCGTAATTCGCTGGTGCTCTGCATCTATTGTTTTATTTAGTTTTAACCGTTTTTCTATTTCTATCCATGTACCATAAGCCTTAAAATGATTAGGCGCTTTTTCGTGTACAGTAAGTGCAGCAGATACGTTATGCCAATCAGAAAACCCACAAATTGCCAAATTTGACTTCGGAGTTCTATCAAATAATTTACAACAGAAACAAAATATTTTCCCCGTTGATTTTGAGTAAATTAACCAACGCCTAAGTAATTTTTCTCCATTAGAAAGATGTCGATAAAAATGAATCTCAGAAAAATGTCTTTTTTCATGATCTAGTTGAATACTCGAAAATTCTGTAAATATTTCGGGACCGGTTACTACTATATAGTCAATTTGTTTTGATGTTAAAAATGAGGGCCAAGTAGCAGGATCAGAGTTAATACTTGGTTCAGATGATTCAGTGTTACTAACCAATTCATTACTTTGAAATTCAATAGAAATATCCATATTTTCTAAATGCTTAATTGTATGTTGTTCAGAACTTGTAGTAGCTAATAAAGATGACGTGATATTTTGTTCTGGACTTGTAGAAGGTAACAATTCTTCTGAAGAATAGCTTTCATCGTTAATTGATTCTTTATTTTTTTGCAAGAACTTAGATAAAGCATTAGCACCTTTTTTAAATTCTAATTCCCTCTTAATCTTTTTTTTTAGGTTTTCTGCTCCAGATAATTTCTTTTTCGGTGCCATTCTAACTAAAGCGTTTCCTAAATTAATTGTAATAATTTGTATAATATTATTAATTAATTCTTATCAAGTATAAATTATACTAATATACTAATATAAGGTATATTAAACATAAAATAAATATAGTATTCCAACAGATGCAGCAGCAAACGTGTTAATAAATAATAAATTAAAATATATTATATTATTTACTTTCTATTTTCTGTTAAAGTTATAACTTACCTAATAACTAGTGAAATTTAATCGTCAACTAGGCGATGGCGTAAGTACTCGTTTCAAAGAGCAAAAACAAAATGACAATAAAAGTATGATCACTGACCCGTATAGTACGATCGTCAATCAGTAAAATAATAATATAGGTATAATACTATAATAAAATTAACGTGTATTTTTAAACACACAGAATAAGCTGATAAGTGATGGACGGACGAGACGTAGTCATGAGTCACAATGGCTTGACGCGATCCCGATTAAACGATAACAAATATTCGGGAATTTTTATATTTGTAGAACAATACATAAGATAAACATTTTACGTTAGTACGCTAAACAGAATAACCATAATAATAATTATCTATATTTCAATACAAAGTTTTAGGAATTTTATATTTAATAAAAAAAATTACTAACAAAAGTGTGCAAAATTGTAAAAAGCAATTTCGGCGCTCCCCTGAAAATGGCGCCCTAGGCGACCGCCTGAGTCGCCTTACCCTCGCGCCGGGCCTGCACATAATATGCAAAACCAGAAACACCTGCCATAACAAACAACTTATAACCCCATTTATGTGGTTTCATGGGGATATATTGTTTTAAATAATGTTTAGTTTTAGTAGAACATAATTGCTCATCTATTGACAGACATTCTTCTAGAGGAACTGATTGAAATTTTTTATTTAATGTTTCTAGAAGTGGCCTTATACGATAAAGTCTATCATGTCCAGGTCTATTGAATGGAATTAGTTGAGAATTGTCATTAAAATGTAAAAATTGTTTGATTTTTTCAAACACATTTACTGGCATGGTATTTTTTATAACAGTATTACCTATATTTGATGACCAATAGCTACGAATAGACGGATTTTTATGAACAGACATCATAATGGAGATTCCTAAAAATCTTTTAAAGTCAGTTCTATTAATTTTAAATGGTTTTTGAATATTTTTTTGAATACTATATTTTAGAGTTTCTTCACAAATATGGTCAATAAGATCATTATCAAAAAAATAACTAAATATTTGGTAGGGAGAATCCAAGTTTAAAATATCAGTTGTAAGTTCTTCACTACCTAGAAACTGTGAGCTTGTGTTATGTTCAAAGGGTATATTTGTCCAATTAACTGATGTAACTGGAGTAAATGGTTTTTGATGGCAATTAGTATTTTCAGATATAGAAACAGTGGGTTGAGTGGTATTTTCAGAAAAATTATTACTATAAGTAGAGGGCAGCAATACATCATCAGTTACATCATGAGGTACAGATATAACAATAGGATTATTATGATTTAAAGATTCAACAAATACCAAATTTTCATCTATGACAGGTAGTTCTACTTCATTAGAATTTAAATAACCATCCATATCTTCTACAGTTACAAACTCATTTAGTTCATCAAAGTCATTTTCATCAAATTCATCATCAGAATCCACTGGTATTTCAAACAGCGCATAAAGCATTTCTTGTTCAGTAAGACCTTTATGATTCGACATTGTAATATAAAAATATAAAAACTAAAACACGTACAATATTATTTATAAAACTAGTGTCTAGCACAGAACATAATAATGTGTCTAGAAAGTAAAAAATATAGGTAATATAAAACGTTTTGTAATTATAAGCATGTTTTGTAATTATTTTGTAATCAACAAACAAGTGGATAGCGTGTGTAGACAGATAAGAAGTTTGTACGCATATAGTTGCATTCGTGCAACCGGAGCTTATCATGGATTATCATTGTACCATTTATCGAAAAAACCTAAACGACAGTTGTACAACATAGTTTAGATGTACGATAAGCGATACACATTTTTTGATTATTGATATCACATATATTTTCAATATTATGATTCTCCAAAGTTATCATATATCCATTTGGTCAACGTACAATCACTCATTAGTTTCAGGGAATTATTAAAGTATAAATAAACACTTAACAGTAAACAAATATGATATCAAAATAATCAGAATTATTTGACGAATACAATGGTGTAATCAAACTATACATACCAGTAGTTCTAAGAACAGAAAAAAATAAAAATAATAATGTTGCATGAATGCAACTATATGCAATTAAGGGTTAAGGTACACTGAATTTCTCAGCCGGATTAAATTGGAATAAATCAATTTTTTTTATAAGCTAGTGGTATATAAATTTCAAAATTTTTATCATAGCGGTATGCGCATGCACAATAAAAATATATTTATTTTTAATAGCAACACATTTTTTGAACACCATATTCGGATGGGCGTAATTTTTTTAAGTAATTTTGATGGGTCAACTATGTCTAAATTAAAAATTGACTGACTAAAAGCCATTCCCTTTTTAATAAATAAATACATTTTTACGATTCATTTAATTGCATAAAATCATTTATAATTATTTATTATTGGTTAATTTTTAAATGCGTTAACACAATTTTTTTTTTTTATACGTGTTATAAATAAGATATACATTATATGGGTAGTTATACATGTCGTACATTCTTTTATTAATTATTAATTATAACAGTTATTTTATAACTAAATAAAATTGCTCAGTTTCCTCAATTATTTCCTACGCATAATTTAAATCGTTGTAGACATCCTCTATTGAATGCTGATATTATTTGACTTTCAGTTATGTTATTACACGCACTTAATTTGTAATCTCTGGTGAATATTGTAGCCCCGGGCATAGTATGTTTTCGCCAAAAGACGTTTCCACCAAAAAATAATTTGGAAACTAATAGTCTTAATTTTTAAGCGATATATGTTGTAGTACGTATAAAATATCGAAATATGTAATATGCAATTGTATGGTATTATTTAAAAAACTCTAATTTAATTTTGCCTATATTCAACTAATGTATTTTTATCATCTATACTTGTATTATAATTTATATTTTTAAGACAGTATAATTATTATTTGTATTATAATTTGAAATATCGAAATACTTAAATACAATAGATATGTGATAAGCAGGGCTGTGAATTTATAGGAAAGTGCATTTTTTTTGGTGATTATAAAACATAGTTTTGTAAGTACATAATTTGAATTATGTAATTACGAATCCATCTATGAAACTTTTATTTTGCATATTTTTGCATTTTTTGACGTTTTTAATTTTTTAGGTCATTTTTTCGCATTTTTAGGTCATATTTTGCTTTTTTTAGTTCATTTTCTTGTATTTTTAACCAAATTCTGTCAATTAACTTGTTTGAATACTTTTTTTATTTTACACAGGCTGTATATATTATGTCAATTTTTTTAACTTTTTTATTAAATAAACACTTTTTTGTACTAATATTTAATATCCTGTACCTAATATTAATATAAATATAAAAATTAAATTAAAAACCATTTTAAATTAATTTTATACTATAATTTTTGGCATTTTATATTCCTATTTTTGCTTTTTAAGTGCATATTTTATTGCAATTTTTTGGCATTTTTTAAGGTTTTTTAGTGCATTAAATTCACAGCCCTAGTGATAAGACATTGTAAATATTTAAAAACTAATTTAACTGTGCCTATATTCAAATCATGAATTATTATTATCTACTTGTATTAAAATCTACAATAATAAGAATATTTTCATATGATAACAATATGAAATATTTGTACATGGTTCCCAAATAATAATTGGCGGGAACGTCTTTTCATAAAAATACATTTTGCCGAAAACGGGAATCGTACTCTTTTCGTTTTTGGCGGAAATGGGTTATGTAGAAAACGGGTTATATTATTTTGGCGGAAACGGGAAATTCCTGTAGCTCTAATACGTTAAGCATTATATTGTGTAAATTATAAGAAAAATAATTAAGGATTTGATGGCTAAGTTAAGTTGGATGAGTATCGAGCTCAATTGTAAAAGATAGTGATGTGTAATACGTATTTATTGATGTAAAATGTTTTTAAGTGTTCGTCTTTTTGATTTTTTTTCAGTTTTTCTTTCTAAGTGGTTAGTAAAGAAACATGACATAAAACTTTTAACCAAGGAATATAATATACTGAAAAAAAGATAAATATCATATTTTTGTGTTGATCTAGTACTATTTAGAAAGTATCTATATTTTATGTATTTATACCGTAGAGACGTAAATTGTTAGGTAATTGTAAAATTTTGATACACATACAGCTGGCTAGAAATATATATTTGCATATGGGAAATGTTATATATAAATACTGTATAAAACGTTAATTTTGGCATAGAGAAAAAACATTTACAATAATATGATATGAAACACCCGGGGGACAAATAGTTTTTATTTTAACACATAGGTTATAAAAAAATAAATACGATTCGAATTTCGAAATGTATAATATATTATATATAAGCTATCGTTAACCACTTTTCACACAAAATTTCGTCCTGCTGCTCAGTGGTGCCAACTATTTTTTTACAAAATTAGCCGGAAATTTTCACTGAAATAACATTTTGATAAAATACTCAGAAATGTCTCACAGTGACAGTGGACAGCGACCAACTACAACGGAAAATCCAGAGGACCGCAGAGACGACGTCTTATCCGGCACCATTTACCAGACCGTGAGTTATGATGCTGACGACGAGAAATCATCTGGTTCGTCGTTACCTACGCGAGCCACACTGCTGCATCCATCTCCGCGGAAAAAGGACGCCGCGAAAAAGAAAAAACTCGCAAAACCCACCAAACTAATTGCAGTCAATGATGTTAATGAAGAGCTTATCGACGATGAGTTTGTTCCGAATATGTCGGCTCCGCCCGCGCCCGGTAACAAAAAACCTGTACTAAAATAACAATGAAAATGCGTTTTATAATATACACGAGATAATATAGGTAGTTAATTTTTAAAGATATTTGTTTCAACAGCATGAATACAACACTAGAAATTAAAATTCTAAACATTGGTACTACAGTAGTAGCTTAGAGCTAGGACTGTTTTTGATATCACTATCAACTTCACATACATATAGTTATAGAAGGTTGAGATATTCATTTTATATCAGTAAGTTTAAAATTAGTAAGGTTAATGATCAATTTTAAGATTAATGTAAACACACTATAAACAAACATTTGATAATAACAATTTGTTCATGTAAATCATTATTTAAAAAAAAATTTTTAGTAAATAAAAAACAATTAAAATACATTCTTTTTATAGCAAAAATGTATATTATATAATATAATAAATTGACAAATTGACATAAATATAATTATTTTTAATTATTTAAAAATTGTTTACATTAAGTTATCAAATGTTATAACTCAGAACAGGTTCAGTGAATGCAATATTTACAAATAATAACTGAAAAAAAAAAAATAAAATAAATATTATGATTCACTTTATAAGAATGAAAAATTGATCCCTTTGTCAGTCGCAGAAATTGTGTAAGTTGTAACTCATTTATTAATTTTTATTTTAGGTCGGTACACTTTATTGATATAACGTTTATGGTTGGTTTAAATCAACAGAAATAAATTTTAATTTAAAACATATTATACACAGCCACATTAATCTCAAATCTTAAAATGTTTTTAAACATGTTTTCCTACCTTGTTGAGTGTAACTTTAAGAATAATTATACAAATATGATACTTTATTTGTATTTTATAATAATATTTTTACAGTAATTTCCATTTTTTATAAATGTAAATCAGATTAAAAAAAAATCTGACAAAATTACTGTAAAGTTGTTAATTTTCAAACAAAATAAAAACATTTTTCTAGAAGTCACAGTCGAACAATTACAATAAATTACACATAATTTAACTTAATTGCTCAGTTGCAGATTTTAAATAGACATTGGTTATATATTATGATCATAAATAAATCAATTATCATAATTGTATTAATTTATTAATAGTATTTATATAATATTAAATATTTTATACAAGCTGTCAAAACCACACAATACAATTGAACTACCAACAAAAAGTAAGATTTTTCTAGGCTTCATGTTGACAAATAGAAAATGGGTAAAACAGTATTGAGCATTTGCACTGTTGTCTGTTTATAACGGAATAAGCTTGTATTCACTTAATTTGTTAGAGTATTCATTTAGTTCAGGCTTTTCCCAATCTGAAAAATATATAAAATATACATTAAGCAAAAATTTGTATATGAGAACTTGAAATAGAAATTGTTAGTATAATTATATATTTAATAAATATTTTATTATTTAAAAACAAAAATTACTATTTAAGAAAATCAAGTAAGAAAATAAAACTATAATAATTTTAACTATTATAATTGAATTATTCAATATGATTATTGTTGACTAATTTGATTATATTTGCATGTCAAATAAAACAATCAAAAATCTAAACAGAATGAACAGTCATTTTTATAGTTTTACCAACTAAAGTTAATAGAAAAATCTATTAAAGTAAGTATGTGTTCAAACATACCAAAAACCTTTGGTTGATCATAATATGTATCTGAGCGAACAATCCTGGTTGATTGAAGATATTCACCTTCACAATTTATGGATTGAAATGTCTTCATGGGTGTAAATTTATGATCGTTATCATTTAGGCCTTTATTCACTAAACGATATTTATTTAATCTTGGATCTTGTGGTGCTGATTGGTCGATTTTTTTTTGCTTCTGGGCAATTTTATTTGTTTCTTTGAGATGCCAGCGTTTTGTCAAGTTAGTTACTATTAAATATTTTCTATCTTTAAATAAGGGGTGATTAATGGTAGATGTGTAGGTATAACACGATGAGTATGTGTACTTATCAAACCAATTTGTTGCATAAGCAATGTAATGAATACAATCTAAAAATAACAATCAATAATATGCAATTTTTTTTTCTGTTATCTATGTATGATATATTAATATTGTACTTACAATTTGAAATCATTAAAATAACAAATGCTATTTTTTCAAATGTAGTGTTTAGTACTATAATTACGTCAGTATAACTCAATATTAAAACTATTATGAAAACATCAATGTATGATCCAATAATTATATTTTTTAACCATTTAAAACTTGCCCATTTACACTAAAAATAAATACAAATGGATAATTATATTTTTTTACAATTTACACAAAATATAGTATCATGTTTACTATTAATGTAAAATTTACATGAAATAATCATAATTATTTAATAATCTATTTATTTATTTAACGGAAACTTAAACTATTTTTATTCAAATATCAAGATATTAAAACCCTTTAAAAATATTTATTATAAATTATTATAGTTGCCAAACTCTCCAACATGAGAATGATTCAGATTTTCCAGTCAATTTGTCTTCTACAAATTATCTCTGTTCCATGGTTCATAAAGAATAACAATTTCTAGAAAGACTCACATAACTAACTAAATCTCACTATGTCTCCTTTTATTCTAAGTAATCCATCACAACAATCCACTAATAAAATGCCTATATTCTTTCACAATCCCTGATAATCTCCAGGACGTCTTGAACAAACCTGGCCTAGAGATGATCTTTTAATTTAATCTGTCAAATGGCACTTCTAATTGCTCTCCCAATTTGTTAATCTCGTTATATAAATATATTAACCTTAACCAAAATGACTTATTGCATTTAATGTGTATAGATTTTAATCATATTTAATACAAAAAAAAAAAATTATTAAGTTAAAATAAAATATTTTTGAGAAAAAAACAGAATGACTCGACTACATAATTATAATTAAATTTCTACTAACAAATTTAAATATATTTCATATTTATTACCTAGGATAATATAACATAATAACACATTATTAAAGAGTTAAAAGTTCAAATTTTATATAACTTACTCTATGCACAAAATATTTTAAGTAAAAATGTAAGAATAGTAAGGGTAGACTAAGTTTGAAGATTTCACAAATTCTTATTAACACATTGTAATTTAACAAATTACAATAGAATCCTGCAACTATAAAATATAGTATGATTATAAAATTGATAAGAATTATTTAAAACAAATTTATTTATTATAAAAAAAATTACCATTTAATAGAAAATTTAGTTTGGGAACCAATAAATGTAAAAACTTAACGTCTATTAAAACTATAATAATTATTGCTAATGCTCTCCAAAAATATTTCTGAAAAAAAATATAAACAAATAAATCAGTATTCACCTGCAATAATAATCATACAGATTAAGATAGTAGAATAATTTGTATACAATAAATATTCAGGATATCGTTACACTAACGGCAATACTCGTATCTGCAAATTTGTCGAAAATTGGGTTTTGGTATCATATTATTTGTAATCTCTTTGCGCTCATTTTATATTTTTCATATGTTTATTTTGATATAATTGACTATTTCCCTCCAATTTACAAAATAATAATATAGCGTATCTCATTAGTGTATGTAATAACACGTATCTGCAGAATTTTACATTACGTTTTACGAAGATTTCGTTTCAACGTCTAAAATTAATTATTTATTATCAGGTAATTATATTATTACGCGTTTAATAATTTACTTGTGTATTTGTTTGATATTTAGAACAATAGTTTTGCTATTAAGAAGTTAATTTATGCTTGGATTGTGATTTTTTAATTTAGGTTCAGATACGCAGTGGCGTACATACGGGAGGGGGGGTTATATTGAAATTAATTAAAAATTGTAAATTTTTAAATTAATAAATTGGTTATTATGGGGGGTTAAAACATTGTTATGAGTCGTGAGTGTGCATGCAGGAACAAAGATATTATTACAATATCACCAACATTATGTATATTAAACTGAATTATAAATACATAATACAATATAATATAATACAATTTTTAATTTACTTATTTTTTTTTTATTTTATTTATCTATATTCTATCATATACATATTTATAATAATTTTTTCGGTATAGTAACATTGCGTTTATTTTATTATAAATAACTAATAATTTAAAATGTATAATATTTCGTATAATATAATCTGATTATAATCTGCGTGTTTAGCCACGAGGCTCCTACGAATCTGTGGTCGGCCTCGATGACTACACCGCCTAATCGCGACTCCTCTCTCTGGGGTCGATTTTCATATGCTTTTTAAAATCGATTTTGACAGTAAACAGTGTAGGTCAACGCTTCTTTATCACGGTCTTTACGGAATTATAACCGCCGTAAAGATTACGTATAGATATTGCCCTATCTCGGGATATAGGTCATTGGCCACTAATTTCGAATGCGTATTTCTTGGGTGTGTCGGAACACCGGCATGAAGAATAGTCACTCCTCCGTGCGACGCCTTCGTGGTAACAAGTTGTCGGCTTGCCTCAGACCGTCTTGTGAACTTCGTCAAAGTGTCCAAGTGTGCGCCCGTCTTAGACTTTACCTTCGCATAGGTCGGTCTTCTTGTGTTTTGAAATCAAACGGTTACACTTCTCGCGTTCGAACCGTATATATATATCGTTGTTGCGACATCCGCACTCCGCTAAACTTAAATATATATATATACACTGTCTTGCGGTCTTAGTTTAGTGAGGCTTGTCGTTCCGATTGTTGCTAAATTAATATAACATTACAACGCGACTTCCGTTAGTACCGATCGGTCGACGTGTAAATTGCAAGTGTGGTCTATCAGATCTTATTATCATTGTTTTGTGCCTGTTGTTATACCGTCGTGCTCAAGACGAAACAGCTGACCAGTGACTGTCTTGTCATATCATGGTCACCTGCCAACGACAACATCGGCATAGGAACGGAGTCACGTAAATACTGTCATTATTTTCATATCTTATATTTTATATATAAAAATTGTACCACGATTGTTTAGATCGTGTTTGTGAATATTATTATTATTATTTCTTATTATTCTTATTATTATTATTCCTCA